AAAAAATCAAATTTCAGTCTTATTTTACATTTTTTTCATTCTTAGGAATGTCTAAATTCAGTTAAACTATCAATTCCGTATTATATTTATAAATCTTTATAACATTATACAAAAATTAGATTTTTCTTAAAAACTGAAATTTTGCCGGGAATGGAGCTTTAAAATTATGGACACATAAATTTACAGCATGTGATATGGACTGAACATCTATACACATAATATACAGCATGTGATGGAGGCATGTGATGGGGACGAACGTATGCCTTTCTTCAATTCATTTCCAGTAAAATAATTATTACAACTTCAAGAAAACTCGTGTTTTTATTGCATAAATTAATTTCACAAGCTTTTATTCTGAAATATAGTGGTATCAATGTTCTTTCTATAACGGTACAGCCACAGGCAACAGGCGTCGAACAGAAAGTTTCAACAGCCCAACGTACGTGTTTTGTTGCGACATCATAAATGAAGCTGCTCACGTGACCTCTAGGACCACACTCCCGAAAAGAAGTTTATATATTGTTTTGAACGAAGCGGTTTCGAATTAAACTTGTTTCAAAATTGTTTGAGTGAACGTAACTATGAAAATAATTATTTAAACAACACCATTGCTTGATTGTCGTAGAAAATGTAGTAGGACAGTAAAGCACTGTATAGTGAGTATAATTACAAATACTAGCCCTTCAAAGCCTAAGCTTATTAATTGGGCTAGTTAGTAGGAGCATGGGCCCAAGCTAGACAGACGGCGCCTGATTTTCGCAGCGGTTCGCGATCTGAACTTTTTGGGAGTAGGTTACCAACCGGTGTAGGCCTATAGGCCGCACCCCAAAATTCGAGGGGAAAATCGCGTATAAAATTTGTGGCTTATTCACCGGAAAATAAGTTTATGGAGCAAAAACTTGTGTTTCTTCATGATTTTAAGGGGAGTGGGCGGGAGAATTTGTATGAGGCTGGGCGGAAGGCCTTAAAATAATGATAATAATGCATTGGCCTCCATTTATACACGGAATACTGGCACACTCATTGATATCTGAAACAGAAAATAACAACAGTAAAATAATAATAATGATAATGATAATAATTATATTAATAATATAAATAATAAATCATTCTAACATGTAGTTTCTCTCACTTATGAATAATCAAGGATAATCTATACCAAGGCAATCAAACAACAGAATGCACATCTCGGGACATCAAAGGTTATAACTCTGGCATCGACATTCTAGGTGCCTCGCTCTTATATGCTGAGAGTCACAAAAATGAGGGTTTAATGTTTAATTTCAGGCATTTCTTAGGCAGAAACCATCACCAAATCGTTAAAAATTGTTGTTTTAACATTGAAAATGAGGAAAATAACAGCATAGCATGATGTATAGATATATAAAGGTTTGTTTAGTGCAATAAAATAGATTTCCAAAATTTTGACATTCCAGCATGTTTTGGCTATTATCTCCAAAACAGGATTTGCGACGAGTGACTGGTTTGGTTTGTCTTTGCCACATATGTTATTCAAAAAAATAGGCCTACTCATGACGAAATTCTTCCCCTTAGAAGAAACGGTCACTGGTGGGTTGGATGATTGATTGCTAATTGCCTGCATGCTAAACGGTAGATTTTCAAGACCAAAAAAGTGTTTCCATAATACGGGGTGTAATAAATTGGTGTTGGCCATGTGCTAAAAGATACAATTTTTCGGCCATAAAAGCTTGAGTCCTCCTAATAGAAATGTCCCAAAATAATTTTTATTTTATTTTATTTATTTCCAGGCAAGACAATACAATACAATAGATAGGAGAAACAAATGACAAAAACAAAAAGCCTGAGGATTACCTAAAAGCGAACTTAATCACTATCTAAAGGCTCTCCAAAACATTAAAAAGACAAACATTAAAATCTGAAAAATTCACAATTCACAATTCATATATGTACAATATAAAAAATTAATAAAAATATTACAAAGAGAATTACAATTCCATTAAGGTAAAAATATAATTTAATTAATTTAATATGATTTAATTAAAAAAATATTGCTTAAGTACATATTTAAATTTTGTGTAATTAATTGCACATTCCCTAATATTTGGAGGTAGGTCATTCCATAAATAAGGAAAATAATTAAAAACAGTAAATTTATAACAATTTGTTCTAGCAAATTGGATCTTAAATCTAAAATCAAACAGATGACGGTTATTAACAACAGGAAGAAGATTTAGTTCAATATCATATTTTCTATGGAAGCAAGACAATACAAAAGAAAGGAGGAGGTATTTATAACGGTCAGAAATAAGTGGAATCTGAAGGAGGAATAAACGTTCAGCATAATTAAAAGTAGGATCATAATTAAAACAGGCCCGCGTAAACTTGCGTTGAACTTTTTCAAGAGAATTAATGGGATTAATTTGAAAAGGGTACCATGCCGGGATTCCATATTCAAGTATAGGTCTACAAAGGGTCTTAAAAAGTAACATCAGGGAAACGGGGTTATTGCATCGGACAATTCTTTTTATAAAACCAGAAAGT